GGTAGGTGCAACCCGAGCATCGATGGAAGACGTCCAACACATGATGGATCGCTTTTGTACCCTATCTGGCATGAGAGTAAACTGGGGAAACAAAACTTTAGGATGGTGAATCCATCATCAAGGTGTAAGACCCCCGGAACATCCGAAGGTGAGGTGGTTACCTCAAGAAGCCCCGATTAGAGTTCTGGGAGTCTCCCTGACAGCCAATGGCAAACCAACAGCAAATAACGAATGGATAGCGAGACCCCCCCTGGAAAAGTTGGCATTATGGAAGGACAAACACACTTCGCTGTTAGGAAGAACCCTAGTGATCAACAACGTCGTGCTTGACACTCTTTGATATAGATCAGCCATCTGGAGGCTAGATAAGGCCACCCTGATCCCCCTCCAGCGACAGATAGCTGCATTTTTATGGCGGGGGGACCACGAAAAACAGAATGTGATAAGCCGAGTGGCATGACAGTCGATCATCCAACCCAAAGCAAAAGAGGGGTTGGGCATAATTGACCCTGCGACACAAGTTAAGGCATTGGCCATACAGTGGCTTAAACGCTTGCTTTCTTGCCCACAGATCCCCTGGAGAGAGTTGGCCCTGGAACATATTTCAAGGCTAGCCCCAGAAGCACCAACTCACATCAGTCCGCTCACATGGGTTGAAAACAGAGATTGGTCAATTCCACGGCGACAGTCTCAACAAGAAAACCTTCCCACTGACCCGCCAAGACAAGAGGCAAGAAAGGATCTCCATAATGACCCCTTCTGGCGTATCCTCCTACAAACATGGAGTCGTCTCCCCTTGCCGGACAAAACAACACCTGAGAGATGGGATGAAGTGGTCCGACAACCATTGTTTGGGAACAAAAGGATAACTAACTTAAGGGGTCAGATGCTGCACTGCATGGATTACCCTTGGAAAGGATGGGTTAAAAGGGGGGTCCTGAGAATCAGGGACATCTGGGACGTTGATAGAAGAGACTGGATCATGGGAGAGAGTCTCAAGGAAAAATTGAGATATTGTCACAGACCAGAACAGGCGATGGATAGTCTAATAGAATGCGTCCCCTTAAACTGGTGGAAATTTTTGAGAAAAGGACCCTCGATACAAGAGTCCGACAGGGTAGCAATTCCGGGCCGCCAGGGGGAGGTGGGCCAGGTGGTGAGTTTTGATCCAAAAGGACCAGTGGGGGTGGACACATTCCAAATCGGTAATGAAAATCTCCTTCAAAAGACCAATCCAGAACAAATACAACTCCTCGAGAAGGATGCCCTCTCGAGAATCAGGGTGCTGCGGAAGGAGGACAGGTGGGTGGCATTTTCCCCAGACACGCCGATATCCCATCCACCCTTGGATCCCTTGGAATGGCAATGGACAAACACAACTGGCAGAGGCAAAGCCAACACCAAAACGCTGTATAACCTGACAGTTAAAGCAAAACACCAACTACTCCGACCCAAAATCAACTTGAGGGACCAGGTGGAAGTGAGATGGATGAAACATCTGAACATCAGCAAAGAATCGCTGAGAAACGTGAAATGGTTTCAACTAACCAAAAAGAAACCAGCAAACCTGGCCCCCCTGCAATGGCAGATGGAACACCGCTGCCTGCCAACAAATAACTGGTTGATAGACAAAACCACCCTCGAACAGAGAGGTCTGGCGCTCCCCTCGTGCAAACTGTGCTCCAATGCATTCCCATCAAGAAAGAAACCAGAAACAATAGAACATATCTTTCTGCAATGCCCTGGAGCGGTCTGGCTCTGGCGCTGGTGGGACAGAATATGGGTTCAGTTAGGAACAGGGGTGCCTTGGCCATGGGACTGGAAAGCTCTGTTATTCGAAAGATGGCCCTCCGAACAGCAGGACGACTTCACCCTCAACATCTTTCGTCAAGGACGAAGGGCAGTATTGTGGGCACTCTGGAGACGCCGCTGCACTTACGAAATGGAAGGAGTGAGATTGGAAGGGCCAGAATTCACAGAGAACATACAACAACAGATTCACATAAACATAACAACAAGATGGGAGGAAATCAAAACACAGATCAAACACATTAACACAGAGAGTGAAATAAAGCAGAGGATACAAGATTTCTGCAAGAGCTGACTCGGGGGGGAAACCGGGGGGCGGATAGGAAAGGTGGAATGGAAAAAGGAAAATGGGGGACGGGGGGGAAGGGGGGATAACAAGACGATTACTAGAGACTATAAGCTCCTCTTCAATGACTGGAGCAAGCTGGACGACTCAATCCCAACGCGGCCAAGCGGCGAATTCCCGGACTTCTTCCCGCCCCCCGCAAACAGCCGGGTAGGAGCTTCTTGGTACGGGGGAGAGTGAGGGAAAAGGGAGCAGCGGGGCCACGGGGAACGACGGCTGAAGCTGGGACTGGGTCAAACTCTATGCACATACTCAGGTATGTAAAGGGTCACATCTGTGTGGTGGGGAGGGAGGAACTAGTTTGTAGCAGTAGGGATCTGGCACCGGGTCAAGGTGAAGAGGTTCCCCCCCCCCCAGCATTTCTGTCAGACCTGATGTATTTTTGCATATGGGACGCTGGACCCGTTTTCCAGCAGGTGATGCTCCCCACCAATAGATGGAGCCTCTCCCCGGGTGCTAGTGGTGTCTGCTCTTATCAGCGTCACTAACACTGGCAGGGGCGTGTTTTTGTTAAAAAAAAAAAAAACAGATAAAAAAGGGAGACATGCAGAAAACTGATTGTGTGTGTGTGTGTATGTGTGTTGTCATGTTTGCTGTACACAACTCCACAAAGAAAAGCATGACTGCGCCACACTGTTTCGCCAGACTTTCACGTACTTATCACCGCGACAATCTTCCCAGGATGCATTTGACTGATGAATAAGGATTCACCACGTTCCCCCGAGTTAGTGATACCCCTGACAGGTTATGGACTCCAGGGCAATCAATGCTGACAGGTCTCTGATTCGCTTTCCTCCATCAAATTCGGGATACCTGATGTAAAAGGGACACTGGACCCGGTTTCCAGCAGGTGAAGCTCCCCACCAATAGATGGAGCCTCCCCTGGGGTGATAATGGTGCCTGCTCTTACCAGCATCACTATCACCCGTGAGGGATGTTAAAAAAATAAAAAAAAAAGTGATACCCCTGACAAAAGTGGTCTACTCACACTATCCCTGCAATCCTAGCAGAACTAACCCCTGACGAGAATGTCAGCAAGTCTGAGAAACTAATCTGTCACAGCCATAAAACGCAGAGAGAGAGAGAGAGAGAGAGAGAGAGAGAGAGAGAGAGAGAGAGAGAGAGAGAGAGAGAGAGAGAGAGAGAGAGGAGGTGCACGTTTGACGTGACTCTGCATGTTCATGGAAAGGGGAGTTATGGTGGGGGGGAAGGAGGAGGAAGAGGAGGAAGAGGAGGACGTAGTGGGAGAACACCGATGAGAAGGAAGATGCAGCAGAGGAGGAGCAGCAGTAGCCGGGAGTGAGGAGGAGGACGATGAAGAGGAGGAGAAGAACAATGATGAAGAGGAGGAGGGAGGAGCAGGCGGAGCAGGATGAGAAGGAGGAGCAGGAGGAGGAGGAGGAGGAGGGTGTGGGGAAAGTGGTGGACAGGTCCGTTTGACAAGGGAGCAGCAACAGGTGGAAGAGGGAGGAGGAGCACTGAACTGGGTGGTACCTTGGTCCAGTTGTTTGGGCCGGGGCACCATTAACAGCAGAACTCTTCAGCCCCTGCAAGTGTGCTGGCCAGCCTGAACTGCAGTTTCCCACTCCAACGCAATTTCAGTTACGGGCCTAACAAAGCTTTGATGGGGGAGATTTTGCCATTTTCAAAGTCAGGAAGGCACCAGGTAGCTGAAACTGCACTTTCATTTTTTTTTTTCTTTTCTTTTCAAAACGCAGTCCAACTGCCGTTCAGTCTCCGATATCAGAATAGGTGGGAGCCATGAGGCCACACCTGGCTGGCGTGTGGTCCGTGATTGGCGCCAGTGGAATATCACCAACTCGGGCCATACCTCCCCACGATAACTTCCGATTCGGTTGCCGGGAATAATACTGGGTAGGTTACCTTCTGGGAAGTCTCCCTGCAGCGTTCCTATGACTGTACCCACCTGGGTCGATACCCGACCTCTATAACAACCTGGGATTAAAAAAAAAACTGTCTCTTATACACATCTAGATGTGTATAAGAGACAGGTATGAATGTGATAGATGCACTATACAACAAGGACAAACAATGGAAACTCAGCAAACGAACCGCGGATCTGGACCTGCGCACACTGAACGTAA